TTAGGTCACAAGTGTCCACTCAGGAAGCTGTGTGGCTATTCAAAGAGTGAGTGTGCATGCCAAGGGCAGGCATTAGAAATGCCCCAGTTCATCAGAGACCCAAAATGTTGGGTCACCCCGCTGCATCCTTGCTGTCCTGGACTTCCCAGTGGCCATGGCAGAAGCCTTTAGCTCAGCTCTGACCCTGTCACTCTTCGGGCAGCTCTGTGACTTTGCTTCTTTGGCCCATAGTTTCCTCACCTATAGAATGGTACTGATAATTCCTGCCTTGTCTATCTCAGGGGGAAAGGATATGAGAATAAAAATTTTACATCTAAGAGAAAAAGGTGCTTTGAAAATAGCACTGTCAGCATATGTGTGGCTCTTATTTTGCCGTCTGTGGGCTCTGGGGACTGAAAACTACCCTTGGCTGCCTTTTGGGACAAGAAAGCGGATCATGCCACCTCTCCTGGTTAAAATATAACCATGCAACTGAGGAACTGAATTTTTAATTTTAAGTATTTTAAATTTAAGAGATCACACGTGGCTAGCGGCTACTCTATCCGAGGGCAGCGACGCACCATCAGTATGGGGTCGGTTGGGTTTTCCGCCTCAGGACTATGGCTTTGCTCCAAAGCCACAGATATTTCAGGCTTCTTCCTTTTTTTGTTTTTAACAAACTGATTAGCTGTGACTTTCCTCAGCTATGTCACCGTCCCTTCGTGGCCACCACCTGGACGATGATCGTTCTTAGCTTAACCCCACAGGGACCTTTCACACGGGGTGTAGGCTCTGTCCAGGGGACCGGCAAAGGGCAGCCCGGAAAGAGTCACTGGGTCATAGAAAGCTCCCGCGGGTCTGCTGGGATGTAATTTCATCTCCCTGGAAGGCAGGTCAGAATCTTCCAGCACCTCGCGACCTCCTGCCTGAGGTTCCTGACGTGGGACCTGTCCTCAGAGCTGGAGACAGGGTTTTTAAAGGACGTGTTCCCAGGAGGGACACGGGAGGAGAGGAGGCCAGTGGGAGCATCACCTCAGGCCCGGTCTCGCAAAGGCCTGAGCCTGAGCCTGAGCCTGAGCCTGCTCCGGAGGGGACGCTGGAGCTTGGTGATGCTTCTACATGTTGTCCCCAGCCTGTGGCAGGGGCTCAGCTGTCTCACCTGGCACCTGGCAGCCACTGGTTACGATTCTCGGGGTTGTAGGGGAGTCAATTCTCTCCGCTTTGGGCCTGGGCACCCCAACAGCCCTAGGACAGTCTTCCAAAGAAGGGCTGCGGCGCCTGGTGCGAAGCAGCTTCCACCTTGTCATGTGTACGCCCACTGCCACCACTGGGTAGGTGGCTGCAGCAGCTGATGTCTGAGTACCCAGCAAGCGAAAAGACCCCAGATGTACCCAGAGGGAAGAGTGCGAGGGAGGGGGGGCCAGAGGCACTCTTGTGTGCTTGAAACCGGCAGACGTGGAATGGCACGGAGCTGCCCAAACTGAGGGTAAGGCTGTCATCACATTCGGAGCCTGAGTCCTGGAACCTGGCACCAAAGTGGTGGCTGTCCCTGCCTTGGGAACAGCCTGCTCCATTACAGGACAGAGTGTGGGCAGATCCTGGGATGTCAGTCCTAAATCTGCCCGAATCCCATTGCTTCTACTCAAGGGCACTAGACCTGCCTTTGGAAGACGGTTATTGTGGCAATCCCATCCTTTTTTTTTTTTTTTAATGTTTTTATTGATTGTTTAGAGTGAGAGGAAGGGAGAGGGAGAGAGAGAAGCATTGACCAACTGCCTCCTGCATGCCCCCCACTGGGGATCGAGCCTGCAACCCGACATGTGCCCTGACTGGGACTTGAACCGGCGACCTCTCGGTGCATGGGACCACGCCCAACCAACTGAGCCACACAGGCCAGAACAACCTATTCTTAACGACTGCCCCTGCGGCAGGGCCCCGGGATGATATTTGACACATTACCATGGTAGATGCTCCCCACCAGCCTTCCAGAGAATGTCATTGCCCTGTGGACTGAGGAGCTTGTCATTTCAGTGCATTGTATGGGGTCCCTTAGCAGGTGTGGTGTGGCTGTGTTAGGATCTACACGTGGGTCTGTCTCACCACGTTGTCACCATTGAAACTCCCAGAGGAGAGCGCCCTGTGCCACCTGCTTAGAGACCTCCCACCAGAGCATTGGCGTGGCTTTGGGAGTAAAGGGCTATTCTAAGACTAAAATGGAAAGTGTGGAGCATTCACTTGCAAAGCAAAAATCTGGGATATAATTTCAAGCACCCTCAGACTACTTGCCTAAGCTTATCTGAGAATCTCAGGTGAAGACCTCCCTCATTAGGTAGAGGTAGACATGCTTTTTCTGTAAAAGGCCAGAAAGTAAATACTTCAGGTTTTGCAGGCCATACAGTCTCCACTGCAGCTACTTACCTCGGCTATGTAGTCAGAAAGCATCCACGATGATATGTAAACACATGGGCATGTCTGTGTTCCATGCTTTCCAATAAAACTTTATTTACAAAAAGAGGTGGTGGGCTGGATTTGGCCTGCAGGCCAGAGTTTGTCAACCACTGGTCTGAGCTGGTGCTAAACTCCTCCTCAAAATGGATACAGCTGTTTAGATAGAGTAGATTCTACCTGACTGGGCACTCACCAGGCCCCACCATCCGTGAAGCACCCCCTGGACAGGAGACAGTGACCCAGTCCACTGAGTCAGCTGGGTGCTGGAGCTCAGCTGGACGCCTAACATCAGGAGCATTTGCCTGTCCCAAGGTCATGAGCCTCTCGCAAAGATGAGCTCACTGTTCTTAGTCAACTCACGTTGGCTCCCCGCATTCAGGGCATTGTTATTTTTTGTTTTATTGTGTCCCATTTTGTACCTAAAGCACATGCACAGGTTAGTGTCTGGCTGAGGCAGGAATCACAGCAGGCATTTATCTAGTGATTACCAAGTCAGTGTCCATGCCCTGCAGTCTGTAAGCATCACGAGGGCAGGGTCCCTGTCCGCCTTGCCAACCGTCATGTTCCTGGAACCTCGCGCAGCACGTGGCACCTAGTGGGCTCTTAACAGATATGTGTTGAGTGGGTAGATGGATTGGAACTTGAGCAATAAGGAGTCAGGGCAATGAAGGAGGGTGCCAGAGCCTTCCCGAAGTGGCACCCTCTTGTCACGTCTCAACAGCGCTGCACGGTTCTAAAGCTGGAGAGCTCGGACCTTCTGGGCAGCAGTGTGTCCTGGGTAGGAACAGAAGACTCGGGAGACTGGGGGAGGGTCCCCAGAGTGAGGAACAGAGACAGGGCTGCTGCAGCCTCTAAGGGAGGGCAGTGCTGTGGAGTAACAAGTGCTGGCCTGAAGGAGCCTCACAGAGGGCTGTCTGGATGGTGAACAAGGGGAGACGTGTTCTGCAGTTGCCACCAGAAGCAGAATTAATTATACCAGGCAGTGGCCTGCTGGTCTCGCCTTCTGCCCCGGCCTCCACCCAGATCTCTCCCTGGCATCGGGCAAAGCTGTGGCTGCCCCTGCCCTAGAGACTTCAACCCAATTCATAAATTTCCTTTCCTAATTAGGCACAGGAGTGATGGAGACAGTTATTAATAATGTATGGGGTGTGTTTTTTTATGCCCCATGTAGGAGCCGAGCCTGAGAACAGTGTCCTTGATAATAAGCAGCCACACTGCCACCACGCTGGGCTCTGTGCCCAGGACGCCAGGCAGAAATAAATAAATCAGAGGAGTGAGTGTCCCATGGAGCTCAGGTACCAGGCTGGGATTCACAGATGGCAAGACCCAGAGCCCCTTCAGCAGGGAGGTCCTGGGCACTAGGTGGGGGAGCAGAGGAGCTTGGGTGCCAGCTGCCCGTGTACCCCCCACCCCCGTTCCTTCCCTTGCTAGCCCAGGCCGACCCAGAAGGGACCTTTCCATAGGCTGGCTCCCTCCCTCCCCCAGCCGGTAGGGCTGAGCCTAAATACCACCTCCTCCCCCAGGCTTCCTCATGCCCAGGGTGACTCTCTGCTCTGTGAGCTCATGGACTGGGCCCCATTTGATCCTGCACAGCCTGTGGAGGAGGTTCTGATGCTTTGCCCCAATTACAGTGTAAGGAACTGAAATTAAATCTCAAAGATGAAATGATTTTCCCAGGGTCAGAGTCAGGAATTTCACTCCAGGCCCTTCTGATTCAAGGCCAGTGTGGATACCACTGTGCTGAACTGGGGGAGGTACCAGGGAGGAGGGGCCGGGTGACTGTGATAACTGGGGAGGAACCAGCTCAGGCCTGGAGTCCGGAAAGGGGGCAGGGCGGAGAGAAAGGGCAGGTGGAGACGGGGTCAGAGGTCAGAGGGTGCAGCCACTGGGGCCTGAGCCTGGGAGGAGGGCAGGGCAGGGAGGCAGTAGCTCTCAGACAAAGCTTCCAGCACAGGGGGTGGGTGTCTGAGGGATGCTACACAGGAGTGAGGTAGTGGGGGGGTAGTTGCTGAAAAGAGGCAGAGGGCAGGGCGCATGTTTGGGGGCCACCGGTACAGCAGTGAGTGTGGGCCCAGGGGCCCTGGGCCATTCTCCCCATGAAGCAAATGAGGTGTCCAGCCTGGTCGGCCTTGCTGTTCGGACCCCTCTGGAGCGCTGAGATAGTCATGGTGGCAGACTTTGGTCTGGCTTCTGGCAGGACCCCTCGCCAGACTGTCCAAGGCCTATGTGCTACCATAACCGCCAATTTCCATCCACAGTGGACAAGAGGCTCGACCACGGCAGCCCCCACGGCCCCTCTGAGCAGCAGGAAGGGCCTCCTGGGCCGGGTTTAGGAGACAATGCGAGGCTTCCAGGAGGACTGTGGGACGATAGTGCGCAAGAGACCGATGGCCCCCAAAGCTGGACAAGCACAGCCCTGCCTCCTGGCACACAGCTCACCCCCCAGCCAGGCTGAAGACCAGGGACTCCCGTTTAGACTGCAGTGTCTTCAGCCTGCTCCTCTCCTGCAGAGTGGAGAGGGGGTGCCCCTTGCTTTTGGAAAAGGCAAGCACCTCTCTCCACACCCTCACAAGATCTCGGCCCCCCGTCTTTCTGTTCAGTGCAGGCAGGGAATCGTGCCTTCTCCCACTGTTGTTGGGCAGCCAGGGGGCTCCTGCTGCAGGCACCCTGGTCCAGGGAGGAATCAGGGAGACCTGAACAAGGGGGGGGTCTCTGTGCTGCACCCAAACCCGAGCAGATTCCCATGAGCAGAGAAGCTGAGATGCAGATGCTCACTGTTTTCACCTGATCAGTTCCTAAGGAGAGGACTTCTTTCTCTCCGGAAAGGGGGGCTGGGTCCAGAGGTTTGCAAAGAGTGCCACGTCTGATTGTGTTTGTGATTTTAAAGCCCAGCCTCACTGGCACCTCCGGAGTAGGAAACAAGTGAGGGCCCCTCACCCAAGTGGGCCCGCACGGTGGGGCAGGGTGGACGCCCTGGCACAAGCCTCCTCGAGGATGCCCTGGGCCCGTGAATGGACAGCAGTGGCCCTGAGTGGGCCCTTGTGTCGGGAGACAATGGGCCCTGTGTAGGGGTGGGGCGAGAGGGAGAAGGCTGGGGCCCCTCCCCCAACACTGCTGCCTCGTCGGTGGCTTCTGGGGCTGGGGACACCAAGGCAGTGGAAGGGGGCACTCAGCCGGTGGAGGAACCTCAGGAACCCATGTCCTCATAGCACTCTGAGGCAGTATGGAAAGCAGGGCTGAGAGATGGGAGGCCCAGGGTCTCCCCTCCCCGCCTCCGAGCCCCAGTGTCCTCCTTTGTCCGAAGGGCCTATGAAAGAGCTTCTGGCACCAACAAGTGATTTAGCAAAGCTCCTGGGCCCACAGGTGTCTCAGGTGAGCCGCCCGAGGCAGGGTCCGAGCAAGCATGCTCGGAGATGCTCCCCACACTTTCTAGCGCCCCACACTCTCCGGCGCTAGTCAGCTAGGCGTGTGCTGAGTCTGTGCACGAGCTCCCACACGTGCTGGACAGCTTCCCCAATACCCTTCATGTCGCTGAAGGGAGTGGAACCGAAAGGGACCCACACAACATAAGCGCCAACTGTGCCATGAGACTGTCCCTTGGAGAGGGGCTATGTGGCCCCCTCGCCCCTGCCTCCAGTGCCCGGCACAGGGCCTGGGACAAGGTCATGGTGAGGACCAGGCATTGTCCTGAGGCCGGGACTGGCTTCTGACTTGTTTCCCACAGTAAAGGCCAGATGTGTCCTCTGTGGTTTGAAAAGTGCGGTCACAGACATTGTCCCCCTGAAGGAGACTGGCCTCTAAGGCTCAGGGATCGTCAATGAGCCATGCTGGGCTGAATTGTCAGTGGCTGGGATCTGTCTGCTTGGCTGGGAGCTGGGCTTGAGAGGCAGAAAGCGGAGAGGGTGACTGTGGGCGGCACCCCCTTATCCACTGATTGAGCCTCCCGTTGATTCAGCTCCTGGGATCAGGCAGGGAACAGGTCAGGCAACCTGGGCCTGAGTCAACAGAGACTTTGAAAGTTGGGAGAGAAGCGTAATGATGCCCCACAGACCCACAGCATACCTGCAGTGTCACCAGCTGTGCCTGGCGCTGGGGCTGAACTCAAGATCAGGGAGCCATGTGTGCAAGCGCTGGCCTCTGGAGGTGGCCACACAGGGTCAGGAGGCCGAGCCATGAATAAAGCTAGAGCTCCCATCTCAGTGGGCAAGTGCCGTTGAAACGAACATGGCCATCACTCCCCTCTCCAAGAACAGTTGAAAGAAATCATGCACAACGGAGGTTGTTTCCACCCCACTCATTCCTTCGATTCATTTCTGACTCTGTCCCCTCCTGTCACACCTACTGTGCACAGCCTCCAGGGTGCGGGTTGACTAGAAAGGGGCCTGGGGAAACTTGCTGGGTGAGGGAAGTAGTCTCTATCATGATGGAAGTGTGGCTTTCACTGGTGTACCCATCTGTCAAAGCTGATCAGACCACACACGGGTACGATTCACTATATGTAAATTACCTTGAGTATAACAACAACAACAAAGCCGCCCATGTTGTCACTTGGGAAATCAGTTCTTTATTCCCCACGTACTGGTGGACCCCTCAAGGTGTCTATTATTAAGTGGACGCTGAGTCTAGGGCATAGTTTTGATACTTTCGCAAACATTCACATCTTGAAGGCCTGTGCAAAGCTGCTAGGAGTGCCTGTATGTCTGTCCATCCATCCCCCTCCCTCTGTCCCTCCCTCAACCCCGCCTCTCTCTTTCCCTCCTTCACTCTCACCTCCCCCCTCTCTCCTTTTGCAATTCCTGGCACTTCCTCCGAGTTGGGTCAGGGCCTACACCCAGGCTGGGGTCCCCCCCCACACAGCCTGTGCCAAGGGGGAGGACAGGCTCACCCCGAGCACCTCGTGGAATGACTAATGACAGGGGGCCCTGCAGCACCCAGTGTCAGGGGCTTTGTCAATGACAGACTCTTCCAGATTTTGGCCCCCGTGCAAGCTGAGACAGCTGCAGGTACCCGCCACATGGGCCAAATCCAAGGAGGGGAGCTGGCCCCTCTCAAGAAATTAGCTTAAGAACTGATGCTGACGAGCCTCTCTTTCTCTCCTTCCTCCCCAGTGTCCCCCATGAGCCCTGCTTCCCACCCCCACCGTCAGCGGAAGCGGACTTAATGCCTCAACTGAGAGAATGAGATGTTCTGTTATTTTTCACGGGAAATTAAACCTGACCCTGCTGTCAGTTAGCTCAAGCCGAGGGACGATGGATGGCCGGGCGTGGTGCTTAACCCCTGCTGGGAGCTTGCGGCCTGGCTGCAGGCCAGCCATGATGTCACCTGCTGCCAGAGTGGGGGTGGGGACGGCAGGACAGGTCCGAGGGCCTTCCTCTGGGATGGCAGTGATGCCACCCTTGGAGTCACCCGTGACGGTCCAGCTCCGGTGCAGCCGGACGGCCCGTCCAGGGGAGGCCGGGGACTCAGGCCACTCCCGTCTCTTTCAGCTCCCAGCTCGACCTCGTGCCCCGCTGAGGACAGCTGGCGGTCGGGGCTGCTCACCGTCATCGCTGTTTGCTGCGCCTCCCTGGTGTTTCTCACTGTGCTTGTCATCATTTGTTACAAAGCCATAAAAAGGTGAGTGTCCGCCGGCCTTGAGCCCAGAGGGGACCCCGCTGGGCTCAGGGCTCCTCCACCCACCCCGCTGTGTGTTTTTTTCATTATAAAAATCGTTAAGCATCTAAGAAACAGAAAGAATGTACCATGAGCTCGCATCTATCTTCACCCTGATTCAACAGTTGTCAAGATTTGGCTAATATTTGCTACACTGCTTTCCTTTTCCCTTTCAGCTTTTCATTTGCTGAAATATTTTAAAGCTGATCTCAGACCTTATGTATCCACATCATTATTAGAGAGTTCAGCTCAGGGAGCATTTGATGAGCACCAATTATAGCCAGGCCCAGTGCAACAGAAAGCGCCCCTTCCTGTAAGTCAAAGCCTCGGGGTATGGCAATAATCCTCGGAGTATGGAAATAATCCTCGGAGTATGGAAATAATCCTTGGAGTATGGAAATAATCCTGGCAGGGTTGGCAGCGGAGCCACTGGTGGAAGGCGCCATGCTGGTTTGGAGTAAGGACTGGGTTTTAGTGTCAGAGCTAAATTCAGGCTCTATTTCTGGTCCTCCGTGTCCTTATCTGTAAAATGGGGGGAAAGAGTCACCACCTCATTCTGCTCTGAGGAACAGTGAGCTGCCTGCTCTAGGTAGTATGCTCAGCATGTGTCCCCTGCAGTGCCTGGTACGCAGGAAGTGCTTACCAAGTGCTGCACAGCTTCCATTGATTCAGTTGTCGCAGACGGAGGGCAAAGGATGACAGAGGAGGGAGCAGTGCTTCTCCTGGGAGAAGAGTGAGGTTGAGATGCTTCAGAGCAGCTTTTCGGTGAATGTGACACCTAAGTTGGGTTTTGAAGGATGTTCCAGTGGGGTCATGAATGATCCAAGCAGCAGACTGTCTTTCAGTAACACTCACTGTCATTTCTGTAACTACCGTCTCATTTTGCCTTTCAAAAGAGGTTTCGGTTGGGGTTTGCTGCACGGTTTGGCTACTGTTGAGGTCTGGAGAGGTTTGGGTTGTGTCCTGGGCCCTAAGTGTGGCAGAGTAGGCCCTGGAGTTACAACACAGCAGCTCTGCCAAGTCCCTTGATAGGACTAGAAAGTCTTTTCAAGCCTCCAAAAAATGTCTTCTCTAGCACAGGGATCTTGGGGGAAGATAGAATCCAGAGACAAAGAGAAAAGTTGCAAAACACCAAAAGGTAATAGGGATGGTCAATACATTTCTAAGAAAGTTTTTAAAAATTCCCTATGGCCCCAAGTTAGAAGATCTACATTAAGAGCAACCATAACACCTAAAATATTTAACTTAACCCTTTTAATCGACTGTTCTATGTGATTTCACTTTAATAATTCAAAGCAAGAAGAGTAAAATATCAAGTTAAAGTCTTAAACAAATGCACAATAAGGCACACAAGGTGAAGGGACATGTCAAGCCAACAGCCTGGGAGTTAGCTGCAGACCGAACCCAGGTGACACAGCTCCATGAGGGGCAGGCCATGCCCTGGGGATCTTCTGTCCTCAACACTCATGCTTGGAGGCACTCTCCCAAAACAATAAATAGATAAATAACAAGGGAATGACCTCAGCCAAGCGCTGGGCTCCTCCCTTCACCAACATTCTCTCAGTTCTCTCTGCATCTGCATCTTCTCCCAATCAGTTCCATTTTACAGAGGAGGAAGCTGAGGTTCAAAGGTGTTAAGGGAACTGCTCAAGGTGGCACAACCAGGGAGCAGTGGAGTCAGAATTTGCACCCAGCACCAAGTGATTCCAAGGCCAGGGTTGGGCAGAGAACGGACCTGGCTCTCCCTGTCTGCCTTTCCTCCCGGGAGCCTGGAAAGGGGTGTGGTGGGGTGTGTGTCTGCCTTCTGAAGCCAGAAAAACAGATGGACAGAAAGGGCCCAAGGCCCTATAATTCAGGGACACACCAGGCCTTGGAGATCAAGGTGATGTGTTGGAGTCTCCGGGGGACCCAGTCAGCCAGATTCCCAGTGTTTTGTGGGCACCTGCTGTAAGTACAGGTGCTGTAGGTACAGAGACAAATGAGACCCAGGCTCTTCCAAAAGACACAGTCACTTCTTCCTCCCTCTCTGCCCCAACTTCTGACGAGATGGTGCTGCTTCAACAGGAGGAGGGTAAGGGGAATAAACTCACATTAATATCTGACTGGCAGTGCCAGCCAGCTGTGGCATGCTGGCCTGCGCTTCAGCGGGGCTGGGGGTCTCCCAGGAAGGCGTGTGGGGGCGCCACCCTCACCTCCGCCCAGAACAGCCAGAGAGCTCTCCTTTCCACCCTGTCTTCTTCCACAGGCTCGAAGCTCTTGGTTCCAGGGTCTCTAGAGGCCTAGAAAGACACACAGCTCACCCCAGACACCTCAGAGGATCCCTTCCAGGGGTGTGGGCGGGGCTCCCTCCAGGGTGTGGGCAGGGCTCCCTCGAGATTGTGGGTGGGACTTGCGAATTGAGGGAGCAAGTGAAGCTGGTGAAGAGGTCCATGACCAGCAGAGGTGGGAGCAGTTAGCACCCCTACGACAAGGGCAAAGGAAGATGCCATGTGAACCTGGAGAACTGAGAGACTCCTGAGAGGCCCATCATCATGAGCTGTGGTTGGAACTGCCAGAGATGCAGCCCCAAAACAGGAAAGGAGGGAGAGGAAATGCCCTGATCTCCCTCCAGGCTCCGGGGTCTCATGAGGGTGACTCCCATTGGCAAACCCAAGAAAGAGGGGATCCCCTGCACCCCCACCCAGCCCTCCTCCCTACCCCTTGGCCTGGCACATGCTATCAGACAGCCTGGAGGTGTTGAAAGAGCCCAGGACTGGGAGTCTAGATCCCTGAGTTCCATTCCCAGCCCCAGGCCTATCCCCAGGCCCACTCAGTGGGTATGGCTGCTCTCCTGGGGCCTATTTGCCGTATCTGTAAAATGAGGGTCTTCTGTGACTCTGTCCAGCTCCCTGGGTCTTTGTTTCGCGTCTTGAGATAGCAGGAGGGTCACTGCCACTTGCCACGAGGTCAGTCCACTACTCAGCCATATAAATGCCAACCAAAATGCTTGGCTGGGCTCAGTACCAGGGCTACGCTTGGCACAGGGACTTCAGTGGGGGTGCTCCAGGCACAGTCCCTACCCTCGAGGCATACATCCCCTGGAGGGAGAAGCTGTTGTTAATCAGAGACCCTCTCTTCCCCCACGGACCACGTATTACAACAGGAGAGGACAGCTGAAGGGAAAACTAGGGCTCTGTGAGCAGAGATGACAAAAAACCTCTGGTCCAGGGCAGATGTGGACCTCAAACAAGCAACAACCAGTGGGAGTCATCGAGATGAAGCTTCAGGGTGCAGGGTGTCCACTGCCCGGGTAGGAGGGCAGGCCTCAGACACCAGCCCGGGGAAGGGAGGGAACCCCACAGGTCTGTGGACACTGGAGGGTGAGGCCACCAGCCACACCCCTCACCCTTCTCTCCTGTGTTGTGGAGAAATGACACCCACCCCC